AGTGCGGGACGACCGCGCCGCCCCGCCGCCGCCGACCGCCCCGCCTCCCGCCATTTGCGACTTCGGCGCCTACCAGTCCATGTACGGGACGATGAACGCGTACCATATGTACGCTCATCCAGGAATGGTGCCTCCGCCAGGGATGGTGCCTGGCCAATCGTCACACTCTTGGTCGCCTCCGCCAGGGATGATGCCGAAGCCCAAAGCGCCACCGCAAGATGCGCCCTCACCACAGGAGGCGCCCCCGCCTGCGGCCCCGCGAGCCGCGGGAGGAATGCCCGCCCCGCTCGGCGACTTATCCGATGAGGAGGCAGCGCTTCGCAAGACAATGCGCAAGCGTAAGGAGGCCGTGGCCCTGAGTAAACGTCCAGCAGCTGCTGGGGGCGATGCCGATGGCGTCGAGGGCGCCGACGACGATGGCGACGAACTCGCCGACGAGGAGGGGGGCCCGCCGAAGAAGGTCATGAAGGGCGCCCCGCCGAAGAAGGCCATGAAGGTGGTCATGCGGAGGCCCCCGGCGAAGCCGAGGCCCACGGCGAAGCCGAAGCCGCTGCCCAAGGCCCCGCTGACGGGGCCCCCGAAGATCGAGTACCGCGCGGGGTATATACTCACGCAGCCAGACAAGTCCCAGTACAGGGCTGTCCAGGGGCGGTCCGACAGGCGCACCCGCTGGGGCGCGGGCAGCACGCGCCAGGAGGCTTTCACCAAGGCGATGAAGTTCATAGACGAGCGCTCGTAGCCGCTTGTCTGCTCTGCTCATCGCCGATCGCGACTTCTCGCGATTTGTTTCGCTGTGCTATAACGCCTGTGTGCATTGTTCATGTATGCCTGCATGGTGCAATGTAAAATGCAAGTCGTTGTTCCATCGTATGCGAGGGGCACCCGTCGCACAATCCTCTGTTGCGATTGCAGATATCGCATTCATGCTACCATCACTCAGTAGCAGTTTTGGCTCAAGCCATGTCGGCGGGGCCACCGAAGCGTCGCAAGACAGACGCCGAAGCGCTGATTGAGTTACACAGAGGCCCATATGTATCTGAGCGGAGTCTTACATGCATTCTCAAGTACGTACGAGATAATGGTGTACCAGGTAGCATTTCGCGTTATGCGCAGTACAGCGCAAGGCAGAAATTAATCGGTGCCGAATCGAACCAGTACGGTGACGTGCTTGTCGGCATTGATATGCCATTGAACAGCGGTAAGAGCTTCAAGAACTGGGCGCGCGCCCCTGGCCCGTACTTGTACTCGACGGCGAAACGGAGTAAGGGGTTCAGAGATCTGTTGCGCCGCCAGCTCGCCAAGCACCCGTGCTCCCTAGCATCCCCATGGCGCATCTGCTTATATTTCGACGGTATCTCACCGCGTGACCCGTTGGCCAAGGGCAAAGACCACCGAGGGGTGGATGCTGTATACTGGTCGTTTCTAGAGTTCGATGAGTTTTTGCAGGGCGAAGACGCATGGCTCGTGCTCAGCACCGCTCGGGTTTCCAAAGTGAGGGACATGCCTGGAGGGATCGGGCAGTCGGCTGCAATGACGTGCAACGAGCTCATGTTCAATACGTCTGGCGGGGTGAACTTTCACGACTGGAGTTATCTTGGACGTGTCAGAAGCAGGGGGTGCCACAAGGCACGCGACTATAATCGCGAGGTTGGGCTGCACTGTGGGCGACGCAGAAGCCCTCCGTGAATTCCACATGAACAAAGGGCACGCGGGCACCAAACCGCGTGCCATCTGCAGGAACGTGCTCAACCAGAAGTTCGACTATGCGTCGCACGACACGTCTGGTACATTTATATCGGACGCATGCCTCGACAGAAGCAAACGCGTCGTCAACGCAGACGCGCAGATCGTTGCTATCTTGGAAAGGCTACGCCCCGACTGGGAGAGGTACGACCGCGGTGAGATTAGCGACGACAAGTGGAAGGAGATCACGCAGCTAAAGGGTTGGAACTTTCATCCGACGCACGTTGCCATGGACGCCAACCTCGCCTACGGTGTCATGTCGCTCCTCTGCTTCGATTGGATGCACATCTATAGCGTCAATGGCATCGTAGCTAAAGAAGTGAAAGCTTTCACTGAGAACAAGGCGGTTTGCAAACTCTGCAGCGCCGAAGATCTCAACGACTATCTTTCAAACTGGACATGGCCCCACAAGTTTCATGCCGCCAATGCCGTGTTCGCACAGGGCGAACTACAAGCAAACGCATCGCAAGAGCTGTCTATGATTCCCGTGCTGGCGCACTTCATCAGGCAAGTCATTGCCAAGCTGCCTGATGCAGGCACCATCTCGGGTCATATTGCAAGTTTACTTGCACTGTGCGATGCCATTGATATGGTTATTCTCTCGTCCAGGGGCCTCGCGACTGCACGTGAGCTGGATGTCGCCGTGATGAAGCATTTGGAGCTACACGCGCGCACATACGGGACTAAATATTGGGTTTACAAACACCATATGGCAACTCATCTTGCCGACATGCACTTCAAATTCGGACCCTTGAACTGCTTCGTCCACGAGCGGAAGCACAAAGTTTGCAAGAAGTTTGCAAAGGACCATCTGTGCATGAGGACCCCCGAGAAGTCATTGATGATGCAGCTCACGGCGCAGCACAGTTACGACACGGAGCACTTCAACATCTCAACGACGCTGGTCGACCCCGTAGCCGCCACCAAGAAGCTCATGGGCGTCTAGAAGGAGTTGCGTCCGCAAACGCAATCGGCATCATCGAGCCTCACGGCGTGGACCAAGTACGGGCCGATCCATAGAGGAGACATATGCTTGCTGGGACGTGCTGCAGGACATGCAGCCGTGCAGGTCTGGTTCCATGTAGATTGTGACACAGAGACTGCGCCCTCAGGGCCTCTATGCTTAGTCTTGGAATTGCAGACTCGGCACGTGCACAGCGCAGATTACTATTCTAGGTACTCCATAGACGAAGATAATAATCCCGTGCTCATTCCTTTGGACTCGCTGAGGCACCCTGTGATTAACAGGCGTCTCGGCGATGCAATCACTTGCATTTGGCCAGTTGAGTATCGCAAATTAGAATGCTGACGCGTTTGCGATGTAGAAGTATACATCTTCACATCAATGAATACATCTTCAAAACATCCCGCAAGAAACACAACATCGAAATTGAAACAACATTGAACGCCCCAAAATCAAGTATATGTTAGCCGAAAAACTATCATGTTATCCGAAATAAAACAACATGCTAACTTTTATAACTGAGTTATAACTAAGTTATAACTCCGCCTAACAATTACTAACTTCAAATGCCTTCAGGTCGCTTGAGACATCCTCACAAAGCCGGCCCCGGGGGAGGTGCCCAAAGGAGCCCAGAGCGGCCTCCGGCACCGTTTCTGGACAGATCCGGTGGATCCGGTGGATCCGCCGACGAATCCCAAACCGGCGCCCTCGCTTGAGACATCCTCACAAAACCGGCCCCGGGGGAGGTGCCCAGAGGAGCCCAGAGCGGCCTCCGGCACCGTTTCCGGACAGATCCGGTGGATCCGCCGACGAATCCCAAACCGGCGCCCTCGCTTGAAACATCCTCACAAAACCGGCCCCGGGGGAGGTGCCCAGAGGAGCCCAGAGCGGCCTCCGGCACCGTTTCCGGACAGATCCGGGATCCGGATCCGCCGACGAATCCCAAACCGGCGCCCTCGCTTGAGACATCCTCACAAAACCGGCCCCGGGGGAGGTGCCCAGAGGAGCCCAGAGCGGCCTCCGGCACCGTTTCCGGACAGATCCGCTGGATCCGCCGACGAATCCCAAACCGGCGCCCTCGCTTGAGACATCCTCACAAAACCGGCCCCGGGGGAGGTGCCCAGAGGAGCCCAGAGCGGCCTCCGGCACCGTTTCCGGACAGATCCGGTGGATCCGCCGACGAATCCCAAACCGGCGCCCTCGCTTGAGACATCCTCACAAAACCGGCCCCGGGGGAGGTGCCCAGAGGAGCCCAGAGCGGCCTCCGGCACCGTTTCCGGACAGATCCGGTGGATCCGGTGACGAATCCCAAACCGGCGCCCTCGCTTGAGGGCCCCGGGGGAGGTGCCCAGAGGAGCCCAGAGCGGCCTCCGGCACCGTTTCCGGACAGATCCGGTGGATCCGCCGACGAATCCCAAACCGGCGCCCTCGCTTGAGACATCCTCACAAAACCGGCCCCGGGGGAGGTGCCCAGAGGAGCCCAGAGCGGCCTCCGGCACCGTTTCCGGACAGATCCGGACAGATCCGGTGGATCCGCGCCCCGGGGGAGGTGCCCAGAGGAGGAATGAGGAGGAGGAGGAGGAGGAGGAGGAGGAGGAGGAGGAGGAGGAGGAGGAGGAGGAGGAGGAGGAGGAGGAGGAGGAGGAGATGATGGAGCTGTGGGGCGGGGGAGGACAGACGGAGGCAAGAGAAGGATGGAGGAGGATGGAGGAGGAGGAGGAGGAGGAGGAGGAGGAGGAGGAACCTCATCCTCACCCTCGCCAACAAGCGCACGCACCTTCTTCTATATACAGAAACTCCCGATCAACCGCAGAGCGGCCGGCTAGTAACTTACGTAGCATTTTGTTGGGAGAAGTCGTGCTACTACCATATCGAATTTCACTCAACAGCTCCTTGACCAAAGCCCCGAATCTGACCAACTCACTATGTTGATGGCGCAACTCTGCCGCAAACGAAGACTGGCGAGACATACGTTCGATCACCGAATGACAGTAGAGAGACACACAAGGGGGGACAACAAGCTCGCACGCGCGCAACTTTGGCAATGGCTTGAGCCAAAATGGCTTGAGCCAAAATGGCTACGGACCAAACGCTGCGTATTATTGGTCTTGTGCTGCTTCAAAGAAAACGAATCGGAAACGAGAAGGAGGAGGAGGAGGAGATGGATGGGCGAGGAGAAGGAGGATCAATCGTGTTTGGAGATGGAGGAAAGGGAAAGGAGAAAGAGGATGAACGGAGAAGGAGAAGGAGGAGGAGGAGAACACGATCAGGGAAGACTTCTGGCTTTGGTGGTTTAGGGGGTCCTGGGGTGGGGAGCGACCAGATACACACATGTATATATACATGTATATATGCAACATAACGACATATCAACTGCAGTCTCCAATGCTCGGAGAAGGAGCTGGCGAGAATGCTCATTCGGCCTACGTCGGCATGACCAAGAACGAGGACGAGGAGATAGACGAGAATGACGAGGAGGAGCTTATCTCCGCTCAGGACATGGCGGCCCTCCTTCAGCAGCAACTCGCACCAGTCACCTCGGCCGTTGCAGGGCTCCGCAGCAAGTGCGCTGAGATGAAAGAGGCGCTGAGCGATCGCTTGGCCCACATGGAGGAACGCCTCAATCTGGACGACGTCAAGGTGGACAACCTGGAACGCGTGTGCAAATCCCTGGAGCAGACCGCGCTTCTGGCTTTGGAATCCATGGAGGCCAAGATCCGCGAGTACATCCACAAAACATAACGACCGAGGGGAGGCCGCGGGGGAGACCATTGTCAAACCTCATTCGGGAGTCTTCGAGAAGCGTGCCGTGACCATGGTGCTTGGAAATTTGGATGCTTTGGAAGATCTAGGGGATGGTTACAGGGTAACCTGTCGGTTCTGAGTGGGCAGGGACCAGAGAAGACAAATTTCAAAGGTGAGGTTAAAGGCTTTATGTTTGTAGAATTCTGGACCCCGAATCTTCGAGATCGCGCGGTAAATCTTCTGCGACGTCCTGGCCTGAAGAGTGGGGGCAGGAAACTTTGAGCGAATCAGGACCGCTCCTCAGCAGACCGCGCGGCCTTCAATTGCTGCCTGGGATTCAAGCGGGTTCTCAAAGAGGAGTGGGAAGGGCCATACAAAATTTCATTCGACGGGGAGTCGCCCTACATTATGAAGCTGGGGGGGGAGCACGCTCTAACATTCACGGTGGGGGGCCACCACGTGCGGTACGAATGGCAAGAGGAGTGGGCGACATGGGACGACCTCCACAACAGTGCCCACATCAAGGAGCGAGCTCGTGGCCGGGGCATCGAAGGGCCTGAAAGGGGGTTGTGCGAAGGGCAAGCACGGCGTCGACAGGGGAGGCGGGCGGGGTCGCCCCGGCCGTTGACTACCAGATCAACCCCACGATGTTTCACCCGCGGTCGGCAATACTGTACTCATAAGCTATCGGTCAAAGAATTCAGAGCGCATGCAAGCACCAATTGATAGCGGACCTGGCTTTCGAGTGGGCATAAGAAGAGTTACGTTCCTCCTCCGCGACTTCTTCCCCAACAAAAAACCCCGCCACCACATGGACATGTTGGGAGGCAAACGCTGGGTAATACCAGAGCCAAGCTTACCAGCACCCCGCGTGCCTTCACATCAAAACGTAGTAGTATACCTCGCCTGGAGCAATCGATCAGGACCTGGAACGTGGAAGGCTAGGGAAAAGACATGACAAAACTACCATAACTACAACATCGTATGACAAACTACGAAATTGCAACACTGTGTGTCAAAAACAAGAATCACAACTGATACGGACAACATCGATTCAGGTTTCGTGCTTACATTATGTGGAACGTCAAAGCCTCAGGGAGAAAACCGATGTTATTCCGGAGTGGGGTTCTTGATAACGCGTTGGGCCACGAAGTTAATTGTAAGCGACGAGCTGCTTTCAGAAAGGCTTGCAACCCTGAAGCTCAAGGTCCTGGGTTGCGTACTTGATAGTATCTCAGTTTACGCGCCGCATGGAGGCTACGAATACGAACGCAAGCGCGAGTTCTTCGATCAGCTCACAGAAGCATGGCTGGCACCCGATAGACACACTACAACTATCGCATGCGGCGATTTCAATGCGACACTTTACGACCGAGAACCCTGGGACGAAAGTATCAGTGGCGAGCTCTTTTTCCAAAATTACTCCGACGGAAGAACCCCGCATAAGAATCCTCTGGGCGAATCTGGAAAAAACCATCACCGTCGTCCTCGTGGTTGGTGAGGCGTCCTGGCTGTCTCTTCTGCGTATATTTCCTCTCGCCTTGGCGCGGGCCCCCCTTCCACTCCTTACGTTGTCCCCATCCTCGCCCCCCTGTTTGTTCCGCGCCCCGCCACCTCCCCCCCTTCCTGTTGCATGAGCGCGCATGTCGATGTTCCTCGGCGCCGTCGCCGCCACGGCCAGCACAGGCGCCTTCTCCACTGGTCACGTCGCGCAGCCGTTGGGGCATACCCGCGGGCCAGGCTGTCGGGACAACCCCGCGAGCCGTTGGCGCGCAGGACCAAGCCGTTGGGACAGCCCCGCGGCCTTCGAGCGAGGCGCAGCCGCGCTCAGGCGGAAGGCAGCACGAAGCCCAGCTCTGCCGCGAGCTGCTTCGCCTCCGCCCTGGACAAAACCGCTCTCGTCGAACTCCAGGAGCGCCTTCCGCAGGGGCGCCGGCGGCCCGCGCTCCAGGAACTCTCGCGGCGGCGGCCGCAGGATCAGCATGTTCCGCATGCACGTGGCGCGGGAGAACATGACGTAGAGGTGCAGCCACCACTGCTCGTCCGACATGCCCGTGCGGCCAGCGTCCTCGTCTCTCGCGCAGTCGATGGTGACGCCCTTGCGCAGCGTCTGGCCCTGCGACAGCGTGGAGGTCAGGTAGGACGCGTGCGTCAGGGTGAACCCCGAGCGGCGCACGCTGTGCGCCCCCGAGCTCTGCCATGTGAACTCCCTTTCGCTGGGCCTGAACATCAGCAAGCTCCGCGCCCGCGCCTCGGCCTGGCCGTCGTCGTCGGCGCCTTCGGCGCCCTGTCGCAGCACCTCGGCGACCTCCTGGTAGATCAGAGACTCCTTGAAGCCGTGCACCTGCAGCCAGATTCCCTGCGGTAGGAAGCGGGGGCGAAAGAGCTGGCCTGCCGAGCACTCCTCGTAGCGCTGCTCGTCCTCGTGGTGGAACTCGAAGGACGCGACGGTGGCCCGCTGCTCCTGCACGAACCCCAACTTCTTCTTCAGCTCCTCCTGCGCTGCCGTGCGCCGCGCTTCCATGCCGACGTGGGCCGGCAAAACGCCGTGGATGTCCCCCGTCTTGTGCATGTTCGGGACGTTCAGGAGGCGCCGACCCGCGTCGGGCTCGCCCTGAATCGCGCCGCACTCGTCAACGGCCTGCAGGAAAACAAGGGGCACGCCCAGACGCCGAGCGTCGCGACGAGCGCGCGTGTTGATCCACCTCGCCAGCGTCTCCCAGTATATGCCCATGCCGTAGCCGAGCCGAAAGTTCTCGCGCTGGTGCCGAGGGTCCAGGACGCCCTGGTTGTCCGTGGCCAACGTCTTCTCCCAGGCGGACCAGACCTCAGGTGGGAAGGGCTTGCCCTCGCGCGTGCAGCCCAGGAACGTGATCAGAGGGTCCCCGGGCTCGAAGCGCTTCGTGCCCTTCAGCTCGAAGACGCAGGGGATCTGAGAGAAGACCTTGATGGCGTGCTGGATCTCCACCGTCGGCGGGTCCGCGTACCTGTACGACTCGTCGTCGTCCAGGCGCTCGTTCACGTCCGTCAGGAGGCCAATGCTGCCGGTGGGCTTCAGCTGCAGGAAATCGCCGAGGTGCAACACGATGGGCACGCGCCCGAAGTGGTGGTGTGGCCGCTGGTAGTTCGACTCCTGCACGTCGTGCGTGTCACTGCGTCCGTGGCAGGCGCGAAGGTCCAGCGCGTTGTACAGCGCGGCTGCCACCATGCTTATCTCCTCCTTGTTGCGTCCAAAATGTGGCCTGGGAACTGCGTTCTGGCAGCGCGAGAACCCAAAATTGACGACAGTTACAGGTTTTGGATGACCCGCTCGGATTACCAACATGATCTGCGGGCCCCATAGGGAGGGAGCTCCCGCCTGAGACTTCCTCGCGGTTCACTCACAGACGAGGCTCCCGCCTGAGACTTCCTCCATATTCAGGCTTGAGGAGCCCAAAAGTGACGACAGTTACAGGGTTCCGATGACCCGCTCGGATTACCAACATGATCTGCGGGCCCCATAAGGAGGGGGCTCCCGCCTGAGACTTCCTCACGAATTCACTCAGAGACGAGGCTCCCGCCTGAGACTTCCTCCAAATTCAGGCTTGACGAACCCAAAAGTGACGACAATTACAGGATTCCGATGACCCGCTCGGATTACCAACATGATCTGCGGGCCCCATAGGGAGGGGGCTCCCGCCTGAGACTTCCCCCCAATTCACTCACAGACGAGGCTCCCGCCTGAGACTTCCTCCAAATTCAGGTTTGAGGAGCCCAGAAATGACAACAGTTACAAGGTTCCGATGACCCGCTCGGATTGCCAACATGATCCGCGGGCCCCATAGGGAGGGAGCTCCCGCCTGAGACTTCCTCCCAATTCACTCACAGACGAGGCTCCCGCCTGAGACGTCCTCCATTTTCAGGCCTGGTGAGCCCAAAAGTGACGACAGTTACAGGATTCCGATGGCCCGCTCGGATTACCAACATGATCTGCGGGCCCCATAGGGAGGGGGCTCCCGCCTGAGACGTCCTCACAATTTACTCAACGATGATGAGGATGAGGATGATGAGTGGTGGTGAAGATGAGTGGTGAAGAGGATGATGATTGATTGTGAGTGGTGGTGGCGATGATGATGTTTGAATGAGGATGATGCCGATGCGATGATGATGATGATGATGATGATGTTCGTGAGCGTGTGAGAGAGTGCGAGTGATGATGATGATGAGTATGTGAGTGACTAAGCATGTGAGAGAGCATCATCGATGATGCTGATGAGGTTGATGATGAGAGAGTGCGAGTGAGTGCGAGTGGGTGTGTGCGTGCGTTCCTGTTCCTGCGCGGGGTGTCCAGAGAAAATTACTCCGACGGAGGAACCCCACATGAGAATCCTCTGGGCGAATCTGGAAAAAAAAAAAAACATCACCGTCGTCCTCGTGGTTGGTGAGGCGTCCTGGCTGTCTCTTCTGCGTATATTTCCTGTCGCCTTGGCGCGGGCCCCCCTTCCACTCCTTACGTTGTCCCCATCCTCGCCCCCCTGTTTGTTCCGCGCCCCGCCACCTCCTCCCCTTCCTGTTGCATGAGCGCGCATGTCGATGTTCCTCGGCGCCGTCGCCGCCACGGCCAGCACAGGCGCGTTCTCTACTGGTCACGTCGCGCAGCCGTTGGGACAACCCCGCGGGCCAGGCTGTCGGGACAACCCCGCGAGCCGTTGGCGCGCAAGACCAAGCCGTTGGGACAACCCCGCGGGCTTCGAGCGAGGCGCAGCCGCGCTCAGGCGGAAGGCAGCACGAAGCCCAGCTCTGCCGCGAGCTG